TTTGTATTTAGAATAAAAATGTAACAGCCAAAACAACTAAAAGCAATAGTTGAATACTATAATTTAAAAAATGTACAAGTTAATGATATATAAGAACCTTAATAAAGTTAGTACTGATTTCCATGACTAAAGTAAAACTGCTGTATTACCACATTTTAAAAATTATAATACTTAAACTTACATGATTACGCCCCAAATTAACAAAGCAAACAAAATAGGAAATCATGATTTTAAGTTTAAATTAATTTACAAATTCTAGGTTAGAGAACATGTAATATTATGTTTACAGTGATGTTTTGTCAGGTGAATATTTATTATCAGTGATTATCGCTTATTCACCATTCTAAAAATAACCTTTTGTAATATTTTAAATGGAATATCAACAAGCGTTTTGATATAACAATAATTGTATTAGAACTAAATATTTCTAATGCTTAACTAATATTCATTAAATGTTCAACATAACTTATAACAATGGCAAAGTTAACATGATTTAATTATTTTAATTATTTTAACTCCTCAATTACTAAAATTTATTTTATAATAACACTCAGTCTGATAAAATTAAAATATTTTGTTTTTACACTCGTCTAGTTAGTATCTCAATTAATAATAGTGTTTAAATCAAAACAGTTCTAATATAATAGATTGGCAAATAGTATTTATATTACAATAACAATTCACAACAAATAATAAATTTTATATTACAATAACAAATAAAAAATTTCTTAATAAGCTATCCAAATTTTGGGGTAACTTGCCTGAGTACCACTAGTCAGTTGCTACCGGTCCAATCCGGTTTACACGGTTAATGAGTGCACTCCTTTTTTATTAATTTACTGTATGTTTAGAAATGGTATAATTCATTCACTCGTCAACTCAACTTTTTATTGATATTAAAATAATTTGTACTTAATAAATTAATTTACGATTATCACACTTCTATCTTGAAATATAGTATTATTTTATATTTAAAATATTCAAAATACTACTGAGTAGTCTAATAAAGTTCGTTTTAAAATATACGATTACAACTATTATAAGAATAAATTAAAGTAATTAATATGTTGTATTCTTAAAACAAAAATTACCCTAATTAACCATTCTAAAACTTTGATTTATTGTTAAACAAAATATCTTATACACAATAAATAATAATACAAAATAATAAAGTATCTTGTTATTCGCATCCATACGATTCGATACTCATATGTACCATTTAAATTGCTTGAATAGTTTATTTTAAAAGTGACAATTTTTTTTTAAATAACAATTTATAACATTGACTCAAGTTGTTTTAATTNAAATTAAATTTAAATAATTTGTGTCATTATATAAATAATTAATTTTTTTATCATTATACTGGATTTTAAGGACTTGTGCAATGAAGGATTAGGCTAAAATAATTATAATTTTTCGAAAAGGCGTTATTAATAAATTTATATATCAAGAGTCTGGCGGCGAAGTGTCCGGCGGCGAATCGGTGGCGGCGAATTGGCGGCGGCGAAGTGTCCGGCGGCGAAGTGTCCGGCGGCGAAATGTCCGGCGGCGAAATGTCCGGCGGCGAAACGGTCAGCGGCGAAACGGTGGCGGCGAAACGGCGGCGGCGAAATGTCCTAGACCCATTAAAGTATATCTTTATATATGCATATATATATATATATATATCTATATTCTTACGTTTATGGGTACTGTCCCGCACAAAGAAACCGTAAGGAATCGTTTCACAGTCAGCGTTAAAAAAAAACAAACGAATAGAATAAGTCTCGTGCGTAGCGAAAACCGATTACCACGTACGTTGGAAAAACAACATACCAAAAACACCACACCAGTTGAGGTGTACGTCGAAAACGGAACAGAACGCAATATCGGTAATCCATTATTCGGCGGCGGCCTTATCTCAGTGTCAAGAGCGGGGAGACGACCGATGACAACCGATTGTCATATTATAGCTGGACGGCTGATATCGAGAGAGACACGGGTGAGCGCCAGCCTAGAGCAAAAGGCGGTGCCGTGTCAATTGATTACATAAATTTAGTTGTAGTGATATGTTTTTATATATTTTATTATACATAAAAAGTTGGGTAGATTTATAAATGATAACAGTGATAATACTTTGCTCTCATCAGTTTTTTATTTATTAATGCGTATGTACTTCTTTTTTTTGCAGACACTTCCATTTGTTTTGTCTTTGTGTTATTTCTACCTACACATGTTTTCAAGCTCCATTTCGGCTGATTAACCGTATGAATCGTAGTTTTGGATCTTTACTGTATATTAGGTACGCTTACACCATTCTGTAACTCCAAGATTTGTCAACAACGACCTTATCAATAAACTGTTTCAATCAGCTGTTCCTTGGTGACTTCAACGCTGGGCATTTTCATTTTCTCATATCGACTTGTGTTTCACCTCCAGTTTAGCTGGTGTACCATAATACAATTCTGTACATTGTGTTGCGTTCTTTAGTTCTTAATGAGTTATCTTTAAGCATTTTTATTTATATTACATACATATTTTTTTCCAATACTTTTGCACACAATAATGCCTTTATCACCCTCTTCCGTTGCCTCAAATACTCGTGCACAGACTCATAAATCCTCTACTACTTCTGACATTATGAAGTCAATCGCATCGCTATCTTCTTCTCAATCGTCGCAATTCAGTGAACTTAAAAGTAGACCTTTGAAGATAATCTGCCGATCCAAGGCCGATGCTTCTCAGCTCATTTCCAATTTTAATTCACAAATGCGGATGGGAATATTACCCGATCCTGATTTTCGTATTGTTCGTGACTAAACCACGCTTGAACGAGAACTTTTACGTAAAGCTCATTCCGAATTGCAAAGTAAAATGGATGGTGGCTCTTCAGATCTTACCATTTCATACATAAATGGTGTACCCTCAGTTATCAAATCCGGTCCAAAAAACCCCAGAGGAAGAAACAATCACCGACCGAGTTCTACTCAGCATTCGCACTAGTTCCTGACTTCAACTCTGGTTTGCATGATTATTGTAAAAATAATATTAACTGTACTTTATGCTGCTATTCTCATTCTACCTTCAACTCATTTTTATCTAATTTTAAAAATATTAAAACTAATTTTTCATCTATACNTACTGAGACTTGGCTTTCTGATGATATTACTAATTCCGAATTAGGTTTTGATGGGTATTTAATCTTTAGGTGCGATAGAAACGCACGCACAAGTAACTGTCTTCAAGGAGGGGGTTCCTTAATTGCCGTCAAAAAAGAGCTCAGACCAATCTTAATTACGACCCCATATGACACTTGTGAGCAAGTTTTTGTTAGCCTCACACTATCCAGGGGCCTCTCTGTGTTTTTAGCAGGAGTATATTTACCTCCTGGCACAAATTTGTCTGTTTATGAGAGTCATATTGAGGCTCTTGACCGGGTCTGGAGATCTAAAGACTATGATTTTGGTTTTGTATGTGGTGACTACAATATGCCCAATGTCAATTGGTCCGCCTGTGATTCGGGTCTTGTGTATACAGGTAGTATAACTGACAAAGTCCGCCTTGTTGGTGATCAGTTTAGTCTCTTTCACTTCGTCCAGAAAAACCAAATTCCGAATAACACTGGATCCCCTCTTGACTTAATTTTCACCAACCATGATTCCACCCAAGTCCTGCAGACTACTGATACATTAGTTCCATGTGACATTTACCACCCAGCCCTGTCCATCTCCTGTCCCTTTCCCACAGCCTTTCCTATGCTTGACTCGCAACACACTTATTATGATTTTAAAAATGCCAACTATGAGAGGATTATTCATAGATTCGAGAGTAATTATTGGTATAACGCCTTAGATTCAGGATCCGCAGATCATTCTGCTGATTTCTTACAGAATTTACTGCTTGTCTGTATTCATGAATATGTTCCATTACGAAAATTTCGAAACTCAACTTTTCCCATATGGGTCTCAAATAGGCTAAAGGAACTTCTTGCTAAGAAAAAACTATCGCATAAGCAGTATAAAATGTTTGGTGGTCCTAATCGTTATTCAAATTTCTCTCAACTGCGTGCACAATGTAAATTTGAATCGAAGCGTCTCTATAGTAACTATTTACGTAACATGCAAGATCGCTTATGTGTAGATCCTAAATCATTTTTGGGAATTTTATCGAAGTAAACGTGGTGTCTCTACAATACCAGATGAGTTTCATCTAGGGGAGTCTAAGGCTTCTGGTGATCAAGTTTCTTCTTTGTTTGCCTCTCACTTCTCATCTGTATATGGTGACCCTCGATTTACCTCTAATGATTTATCCAATGAACTTACAAACAATCAATTTTCACACCTTCCTTCTAATTTGTCAATTTCGATCGATGAAGTAATTGCAGCGCTCAACTCTTTGTCAAAACCGCGAGCGGTTCTGGCCCTGATGACATTTCTGTTAATCTACTGTATCACTGCCGTGCCTCTCTCAGTTTACCGGCCAATTTAATTTTTAATCAATCACTTGCAGAAGGGGTTTTCCCTTCCGCGTGGAAAATAAATCGAGTCACGCCAATTCTAAAGTCTGGGGATACAGCTGATGTTGCTAACTATAGACCCATCTCCAGCCTTCCTATCATAGGTAAACTGTTTGAGTATATAGTACTGAAACGAATTGAAAGTACTTTCTTAACTACCTTATCAATTGACCAACATGATTTATTTCTAGGTCGCTCGACTGCGACTAGTCATGTTGTTTTTGTATCTTACCTTCACGCGACGTTCGAATTGGGTAATCAAGTTGATGTGATATATACGGACTTTTCTAAAGCATTCGACTCTTTAGACCACAATGCACTTCTATATATCCTAGATAGACTTGGTGTTGGCGAGCCACTTATATCATGGTTTACTTCTTACCTTAGAGGGTGACAACAATTTGTCAGCCTCTTCGGTAAGTCTTCTGATCTATTCCGGGCATCGTCTGGTGTTCCACAAGGCAGCCATTTAGATCCCTTATTGTTTAATATTTTCATTAACACTATGTGCTCAGTTGTTTCCCCTTGTCGTCTTCTACTTTTTGCCGATGACTCTAAAATTTTTCACATGATTACCTCAAATAATGACTGCATCACTCTCCAAAATACCCTTGATAAATTCACTAGTTGTAAATGTAAAGTAATGATTTTCTTTCGTTCTAAGTCAGTGATATCTTTTGACTATAAGCTTGATGGTATATCTATTCAGCATGTTAATCAGGTCCATGATTTAGGCATATTATTTGTACCTTCCCTTAATTTCAGCCCTCATATTGATTATGCAACCAGCAAAGCTTTTCGTGTTTTGGGATTTATAAGACGGCACTCAACCAATTTCAGCTCTCCCAAGTGCCTTTTAGNTCACTCAACCAATTTCAGCTATCCCAAGTGCCTTTTAGCTCTCTATAGTGCACTAGTCCGGTCGGTTATTGAATATGGGTCTATTGTTTGGTCACCTTATACCGCAGTTGACATCTGTCGGATCGAACGTGTACAAAGTAGTTTTATGCGTTTCACCGGTAATTGCCTCAACATTCCTCATCCACCACATGAATACGAGCCAGTAAGTCAAGCTCTGAGACTTGTTCCTCTTTCTGTTAGGCGTGATAATTTTGGTATCACTTTTATTCAGCGTCTGATCGAAGGTCAAGTTGATGCTCCCAGGCTTCTTGGAGAACTATGTTTTCGGATTCCTAGTAATACTAGGCTTCAGTGTAATTTTTATATCCCCACCAATAAAACTAACTTCTCCAGGAATGCTCCACTTATAAGGATGATGTGTAATGCAAATAATAAAATATGTTATTAAACCATTTATAGTACGAAGTGCTCACATCCTGTTTTATGCAATTTACACCATGTATATTTTATTTATTATTTACCATGTCTTTTTTTCTCTCTAATATTAAGTTAGTATAAGTTATGTGTCTATTAAGTTGTTATCTGTTGTTCAATTTTTTATTGTCTGTTAATTTTGTAAAAACCGCTTGGCGTTGATTATAATATAATAATAATAATAATAACTAATGTTCTGTATTTTATGTAAACTTAATTTATCACTACAACTAGTTTTATTTCATCAATTCAAATGTGTTCTTAATATTTATAATATTTAATAAAGAATTTTTGGCTCAGTTTATTTATCTTAATTTCTAGATTTCTTTAACAGATAAAATATTATTTAAATTCATTCCTTATACCTTAAAAGTACAATTTAATTTTTTTTTTATGACAACATGCATATTTATCAAGATTAAATGTTAGAAAATTATTTAGTTATCTTCCGTTGCCTATAAAGTGTTAAAAATTAAATAATTTGGCTGTGTTAATCATTTTTCTGCAATACAATAAATTTCCAGCCAAATATCATGTATAAATTCTATTAAACCTGTTTTTTTAATATTTTATAAGAATATAATTCATATATTTTATATGGAACGGAATGTATTTTGTTTGATAAACGAATTTGGTGTGTTAAATCTTCTGCCTTTTAATGATTTTGACAAAATTAAATAAATTAGATACTTTTTGTTTAATTTTAAAGAATAAGTATAGTGTATAGTGTATATTTTATTTTTATTTTTTTTAATTTTTGTTTCAGATGCATGTTTAAATAAGCATTCGGTTATGGTAATTGTCAATTGTGCTCTTATTTTCTATTTTATTAGTATTATTAAGTTAAATTTAGTTATTTTTTTTATAGGTTAAGTTTTTTTTTTTTGAGTTTAGTAGCTTTACAGCTTAGTAGCTCACACTAGCTTTTGTAGGTAGTCATTCAGCATTTGTACCGTTAACATATTTTGTTTAGTATTTGTTACTATACAAATATTATTTAAGTTTTTGTAGCCCGATTTTTAAATTCCTTTAATTGGCAAGACTAATTTTGGTTTTTAATTAAAAATGGCTTTGAAAAATAAAATAAATGAAATTGCTCAATTAATTTGTTCTGAATATCCTGATATTGATTATAATAATTTATCAAGGAGCATAGTTGTGTCAAGCACATTTGCATGGTCTTTTTTAATGCAAATAGAAACAAGGAAATGAGTAAAACTGTTATTAATTCTTTAAAAAATGAGAAGTCTGCTTTGCGCAAACTCATTACATTAGTAAGATGTGGTCGAACAGAAAATGTCCCATTAGATTTATGTGATTTGAGTAGCTCTATGAACGACACTAATGTGTTAGAATGCTTAAGTAAATATAATTATTCAAGTAGAGATTTCGAAAAATACAATAAATCTGTTCTGAGTAATGTGTGTAAAGAGTTAAAAATATCTACTGATAAAAAAAATTATATTAAAATTCTTAAAAGATGTAGGAATATATTTAATGTTAGTTGTCCACAAAATTCTGCGCATAGTTCATTAAGTAATGTGGAAATACCTGATAGCGATGTTACAATGTGGAATACAATCCAACCCAGCCGACTTCAATCTGATGAAACAAAATAAAGTGTTTATGTACTTCAATAATGGAATTTCCACTAACACAAAATCCTATTATGGAATATTGTAGTAGTAATGAATAGTTTTGATTTAGTTGTCTCTGATACTGTAAGTACGCTGGTATCTGCTTCAGTAAACAGAAGTCTTGCTGTAAAAAGTCCTGCAATAGGAGATTTTGATTTAAAAAGTGAAACTAATCACCATAGTACTCCGGTAAAAGACTATGGTAATGATAATGTAACTCCTGTCAAACATTATGGGCCTATGAAACAGTATAAACGTATGGCGACGCCTATAAAAAATGCATATTACAACAGAACACCTGTTATGTCTGGCATAGTCATACCTATAGGTAGTATGAATGATTATCCTAATAATCCGGAAAATTATAGAAAATGTTTTAAAAATTGTGTTTTTCAAGATGGAACATTAGAATTTAGTAAAGAAGAATGGTCGCATATGACATACCTTACGATTTTAGGAAAGCCTCAATTTATAAAAGAGATTTTTCCAATAATGTTCCGAATACGTATGAAAACTGTAAATAATACCTGTTTAATAAATGCTAAGTCAGTGAATTATCCGAATACTGGAATAATATGTGTTTATATGTACTGTCTTCACCCAGGTTGTAAAAGTTTTAAAGCTTTAGTAGAACCAACTAGTTGGGGTGGCGCAGAAGCCACAATCTTTAGTTCTAGTATAAATTATAACCATATTACTGAAAACGATGGGATGACTAATCAAGTCAGGGGTGTTGAACGTGATTTAGTTAGGAAACAAATGAAAGCAATTAGTAGCTATAAATATAGGTCTGCAGTGTTCGATGAGGCATCACCCTCAAAGTTAGATCGTGGAAATCTTCAAAAAATTAAATCTGAAGATGTAATACGCAAAATAAGATCTGAGGCTCTCAGTGCCGATGATTATGCAAAAAATGATCTAGATGATTTACTTTGTAGGTTTAAAGATCCTAAAAATAAATTGTTTATGAAACATGTAGGTTTGCCTGCATATTTATATATGTACAGCGAAAAGCAACTACAAATAATAAAGAANTGTGCATCGAAGAGCAACTACAAATAATAAAGAAAATGAAGACAAACCCTGAAAGTTCGTTTACTGTTTATTTGGATGCTACAGGTTCGAGTGCCATTGCCATTGAAATCAACAGTAACTTGTCCATTATTGGAAATGCTAAGTTCAGCACATGATATTAACAGTAATAACATCGTGGCTTGTGGCCTTTAAGTTTTGTTATTAAAGGTAATCTTTCTTGGCCTGTATTTCCTAATATAGTTACAGATTTTAGTTTTGCACAAATGCATTCGTTATCAATAGCTTGGAACGGTTTTACTTCAATATTTTATTACTTGAATTGGACTTACAGAGTTTTGTATGAAGATATTGATGCTTCAAATGTAACAATAATAAACATTTGCGTGAATCATTTCACTAAAATCATTGTAAAACATGTATATAAGTATTATCAGGGACCAAAAATTGGTAAAATAAAAAATGTTAGAAATTCTATAATAGACTGGATTTGTATACTGTTTGATACTAAAATAATTAATGATATTGAAACATGGTTTAGAATGTTTTCTTTGATTCTATTAACACCCTTATTAAATGAAGAGGCATCAGAAGCTATAAACGGTATGACAAATGGTAGTAAAGTTGTTGATGAGGAATTTTATAAAGAGGATGATAAGTTGAAATCATTAGATAATGATTTATGTTCGTCAAACACTAGTAAATCTCTTTTCTATTGTAAATTTCAAATTATTAAAAAAGAGGTACGTAATAAAATTGAAAATAGTGATCAACATGGCCAAAATAACTCATATTATGATGAGGTTTATTTGGAAGAGTTTATTAAAAAATGTATACCTTATATTTAACTTTGGACTTCTATTATGAATGTTAAAGCTGATAACGGTGCTAATATAACAGTGCGTCAAAGTAATGCAACAGTAAAGTCACATTTCAAAACGGTTAAACAAAGTTTATTGGAAAGTAACACTAAATTAAAATGCGGTCGTTTGGCTGAATTGAAGAGAGTACTTGTATTGAACGTATTCAAACAACAAAAATATAATATAAGAAAAAAAAGGGCAAATAAGGCTAACTTTTCTTTTAAGAGACAACTTGATTTCCATGGTAAACGTAGTGAAGTTCTCACTCCTTTAAAGAGTAAAGGAGACAATACTCACTTAAATGCTGAAGAAAGTTGGGGTAGAACTCCAAAACGACAAAAGCACCTTAAGCCAATAAGGCATCACCCATTTCAAGCAATATCAAAGTCTGCTGAAAAAGAAAGGTCAAATAATTTATATATTTCACCTAATACTGAGAAACAAAAGGCAGATGGCATGATATTGTTTATGAATGATTTTAACAACGTAACTAAAATAATTAAAGACATTTCAGTTTCATCAAAATTTTGTAGCCAAAATGATAACTCTTTAATATTAAATAAAAGAGCTATGGAAGTAAAAGATAATTTTACAAGTTCTGATTCACCCAAAATTTTAAATATACAATGTATAAGTGAAATAGTTGAAGACAACNGTATACAATGTAGAAGTGAAATAGTTGAAGACAAAAGTGAAGAAATTCAAAAGATTCATAATATTTCTCCTGAAATTATTGATTGTCAAAAACTTGATATCTCAATTACAAATGAGCGTTTTAAAGAAATTGTAAGTGATAATAAAAATTCTAATTCAGACAATATAATTCATAAANCGATAATAAAAATTCTAATTCAAACAATATATTTCATAAAATAGATGATAGTAAAATTTCATTGATAGATTGTAAAATAGAAACTGAAAATAGACTTATCAATTCTATTTCAACTCCAGGTAGTTACAAAACCCCAGATCACAGTGTTGTAAGAAATGATCTGTATAGNTAGTATTGTAAGAAATGATCTGTGTAGTAACAAATTACCAAAAAACTTGGAATATTACAGAATGGTAGTTGATATTGAAGGTAAAGTTAAAGCACTGAAAAAAAAGCAGAGACAAAAAATTCAACTTTAGAGTTGGAACTTATTATCATATAATCCCTAAAACAGTGTATACTTTACAAACATTAGAAATAGATGATTTCATATGTCTGGATAAGGGCACATATTTATCTAACTTTGTAATTGACATCTGTTTGGCCATTAATTCTAAGAATAAACATACGACGTCAACGGTATTATATTNACTAAAAATAAACATACGATGTCAACGGTATGATATTGCAATGAAGTGTTAGAAATTTTAAGCAGAACAGAATTAAATGAAACCTTGAATGAAAAATTTAATTTTGCAAAAAATTGTATAGTCTTTATGCCGTGACATAC